TTCACATGTGAGATTATCATTTTTATCAGTGCTCGAAATCTCTTTAAAATACTCATTAATAATTCATAAACCTTGTGGCAAACATGTCAGCCATAATATGTCACGTGGAGTGACTTTATATCTGATAAAACACATGTGGCATTATATAATTGTTCATCTTAATTAGCATGATTATACTATGGTTCATCCTAATTAGTAGTCTTTTGTAGTCGTATTTTAAGCTATTCAAAACACTCGTTGTCGTGTTTTATCAGATATATAACGCTCGGCTGCACTCCTACTCGTGTTTTAAATAGTACATAAAACACTATACTTTATATGATAAAAATTCATAAATTTGAACCACGCTAGACCATGACAACAGCAAAATGCTCTATAGTATGATGCACAAAATTTTGGGAGATGAAATACACGAACAATAAATCAGAGAGTGTTTGCGTGAATGCGTGAAACTCACTGGTGGGGGGGGGGGGTGCAACACCCCTGATAATTGCTCATGAGGAATTTCAGGTAGATTTCCAGTGCACTTTTAGGTAAATTTAAGTAGATTTGCAGAAGATTTTCAGGGGAATTCAGGTAATTCTCAGGACATGAGAAAGTGAATTTGGAAAACAACTGTATTTTCGGAAAAATTATTATATGTCCTGAAAATTTTTTGTACATCTGGAAACATTTTGGTAACCACCCCCCCCCCCTCTATCTAACCTCACACACCCCCTGAGACGAAGTGCTAGCAACGGCACTGAGTATACATCTTTTGAAAACAGGCGAGGGGTTATTGCATGCATGTATTTCTAGTTAGGTAAGCTTAATGCGTATCGCATCAGTGGAGTAGCTGGAAATTGGTTTGGATCTTATCTTAGTGAACGTCAACAAATGTGTTTTGTTAATGGTCATTCTTCGAATAGTCGTCTTCTTCGATGTGGAGTTCCCCAGGGAACTATATTAATTAGGCCCACTTCTATTTTTAATCTATATTAATGATCTGCCTAAAGGCCTGTTTAAACGGATCCAACATTGTTGGACCAACAACATCCAACAATGTTACTATAATAGATATGACTGCTTCTCTTTCCAATCTTTTTGGTTAGATAAGCTTTACTCAAACTCTAAACTTAGTCTTGACAACAATATTTGAAAAAGAAGCCGTTTGGGCCATTATTTCAACAATGTTGGATGATGTTGGCCCAACAATGTTGGATCCGTTTAAACAGGGCTTAATTGTCTTATACAATCCCGTGCATGAATGTTTGTTGATGACACTAATTTGACATGTGCAAGTAATAATATTTGCGATATCAATCATAACTTTAATGAAGATCTTCCCAATGTCAGTGAATGGTTATCAGCAAATAGGCTTACTTTAAACCAAACTAAAACTGAATTCATGTTAATTGGCTCTCACCAAGGAATGAATACTTTTCACGCAACTCCTTCTTTAGCAATTAATAACGTTCCAGTTAGGCAAGTCTCTCATACAAAGTCACTGGGCACACATATCGATGAGAACTAGTTGTTCTGGAATGTTCACATTGAAAATTGTGTAAAAAAGTTGCTTGTGACATAGGTGCTTTAAAGCGCATAAGACCTTTTGTTTCTCTTTCCACAATGCAACTCATTTACAATTGTCTAGTCCAGCCATATTTCGACTACTGCCCGACTATCTGGGATAGCTGCGGTTGTACTCGTGCGGATAAACTACAAAACTGCACAAAAGAGTACTGACGTCATCCAGTTATGATACAAATGCCGATCACCTGTTTGAAATACTTGGTTGGAAAAATATTGCATCTCAGCGTAAGATTGCCAAGGCTACTATGGTGTATAAATCTGTGAACAGCCTTGCACCAGATTACCTCTCCGAAATGTTTGTTGATCGCAGTAACGTTACAAATTATACGTTGAGAGACACCACTGGCAATTAACTAGCGATACCACAACCGCGTACAACTGTTTGAAAAATAGTTTCAGTTACAGTGGTGCCGTACTGTGGAAATCTCCTCCTACAGAATTACGGCAGGCTAGCTCTTTTCGTAAATTCAAGGCTGATGTTAGCAACTTTATTCGATAATTTTAATATTTTTGCTTCTATCTACATTATTTTAATAATGCACGGCGCTCATGGAAAACAGGTATAATGTATTTGTATATCTTGTTATTTGTAATTTGTAATGTTCCTTGACCAGTTTATTTAAATCCCGATGAGTCTACCGTGGCTAAATAAAGTTCACATACTTCACCTAATTACTCGTTGATATTGTTGGATTTGTTTGTTGCAAGGTTGTTCCAACAGGTCCAATACAGCCATGAATAACAATATTGCCAACCTTGTAACATTCTTCTTATATCATGACTGTATCAGATTTGTTAGAACAACCTTGTAAGTTGTAACAACCTTGATTACAATTCGACTGGGCATTGTAATCATTGATTTAAACCAGAGTAGCGAGCGAAACACGAACCTTGTAACAAGTCTAATAATGCCATCAAGCTAGCTTGTTACCAGTTGTTAACAGCTTGTTCCAAACTTGTCACAACAACTGGGAACAAGGGGTTCGAACACAACTTGTCGACAACTTGTGAACAGATTTCCAGCATTTTGTTTGCAGAACTGCAAGAACGTGTGCGTTTTTACGTGTGTACAGTATCCTTTCCAAGTATATTTTATTAAAACTTAATCCGCTTAACTATCAAATGCATGAACAAATCAAACAATTTCTCAATACTTATAACTCCCAACCTCATTAAAACTTGATAGTTCTAAACTGTTCCCCTTCAGTTCCAGTAAGCAGTGCCGTCGTAAGCAAATTGTTATTGGTGCGCTCATCTAAGGGAAGGGGACTGGGGATGCCCCCCCCCCCCTCCTTCGGAGCCTCAGAAGATAATTTTCCATGTTTTCTGAGAGGGATTATTATCAAAATTGTGAAGTGAAAAATTCAAGACTTTGTAATGCATTTTTTAACTTTTTACAAACCAAAACAACACAACCACAAGTATGAATTAGGCTGGATCGATATCGCAAATACCGAATACCGATATACCGCCATCAGAATACCGGTAAATACCGGTAATCCGGTATTTTTAACGTGTTTTTTTTTAAAACCAAACTGAAGTGCTGACCGTCAAGAAAAATAAACTTTTGACAAAATATTAATGTGGCACATTGCAAATGTCACAATATTCGCATTATCAAGCTATGTTATTAACAATTAACAGCGCTAAGCGGCAATTATTAGTAGGGCGTCGAAGTGTTGAATCATTCAGAAAAATATTCGTTTTGTATATAAATTCAGATAGTGTTTCAGTAAGCTGCTAATAGTTTATATAAACATAAAAAACGTTGCATATTTAAAACTAACACATAAACAAGTTAGCATGTCAGTTAAATAGGATTAAAAACAACCAAAAGTTAATACCTTCTTATACTGCCCGATAAAAAACAACAACTTGAAAAGCCAGAAAAGGTTTTAGGCCGTATTCTGTGACCCCAAAAGTCGCTTAGAAAACAAATTTCGTTGCCCCCATTCGGGACCTACTTTTAGTTTACATGAATCTATAGTTTTTGATACGCTGAGTACGAATTCACTTGTTGTCACTCGCACAGACCCGCAGTTTTTTTGTATTTTACGATCAAACATCAACATTTTTTAATAAAATTTCCGCCATTTTGTTCAGGAAGCTTCATGTTATATACAGTTATTGTGCTAGTCCAAGTCTCTTAGCAGGGGGATTGCACGCGGTATTACGCAGTTTGTTATCATTCCTCTGAGAAAAATATACAGAAATAAAATAAAAATATAGATATTTTTCCACAATATAAATGCAAAAGGTACTGCTACATGTTTATAAATACTTAGGAATTAATCTATTATTCTTTATTGCATCAACTTTTGGGGTTTTTGGCTCATCATGATGTGAAATTGCAAAGACTGTCACTATATCCACAAAGACTCACTTTTGTCATTGGTAAAGTTGTTTATTTTACTTATTACTGAAATTATGTACATAATTTTGGCCTTACAATATGAAAAGGCAATTTTCGTGGATACTGTCTACATGAAAATGTTGTCAACAATAAAGTTTTGAAGGTTTTATCCCTCAGAGAGATTTCAAAAGAAATTTTAACTTTGAAATCTTCTAATGGGGTGTTTATATGGAGGTGAGCCAGCCCATGCAGGTACCCATGGCCAAGCTAGCTCTCTTTGCTCAGCTGATTTTATCCCATGTTTACATGAGACTTTTGAGGTGGGCTGTCTTGCCAAAACAAATTACTGGTCTTACCACTATAAATAGTATAATATAAGTAAACATATATTTTTATTTTTCAAGATCTCACCTAGGCAGACCAGATCGGTTCCCATTTAACCACAAGATAAATGTTAGTATAAATCACATAGCGATGTTAGATCTCGGCAAAGCAAGCTAGCTCAGGTATCTGGGCTGGCTCTCCTCCATATAAACACCCCCCCAAGAAAATAAAGAAATGTTATTTATATCAATAGATTGATGTGAATTATGTATTAATTATTTAATGCTCAGCTGTTATATCCAAGATCTAAGGCTTGTTACTTTAGGATTTATTCTACAATTTGAGTGGGTTAAGAAGCTTAACTTTTCGAGAGTTTTCTTAACTTTTTAGTTTGAATTTTTGTTTTGAATAATTTTGCAAAAATTTTCGAAGTCGTGTCCGTTAAAATCAACAATTTTTTACATGAATTATATTTCATTCCACACTTTAAATGCCGGAACGCTTTCAATTAATGTCTAGTCTACCCATTTGCTATATTTTCTCGTTTGTTTTACTAATTTTTGACCAATTAATGTCAATGTTTTTGTTTTAGAAATTGATATTCAAATTCCCCGCCATATTTTCATAATTTGGTGCATGCGCAGACGTTTTTCCGCGGTGTTCAATAAAGTAATTAAAGAAATATAGCTAATCTAGGTTGGGTTATTATTATTATTAAAGCTTTTATTTGCATGACCTAGTTACAGGTATTGCTAAGCGTATATATATATAAAAAAGTTATAGTAAATAACAACTAATTTTACTGTAGTTACAACATTAAGTGGATAAAGAAATATATATAATAGATAATATATAATAGAAATATAGGAAAATTTAGTAATTTAGTTAGTATCTCTTGTTTGAAGGCTTTTGTCTCTAATGTTAAAACATTTTGCAATGAATTTTGAAAATAGATCGATTAAAACTGAATCAGTACTTGAAATAACATGACTCAATAAGTTTTGCTTTGACTCTGTTACAAGAGTCATTTGAAAAATGTTTTTCAGTATATTGCTGGAATCATTCCTAATGTTTTCATAATTTTGACATTCGAAGGCAAAGTGAAATTCGTCTTCGACTTTCTGTGTGCCGCATAATTTACAATATCTTTCTTCACGGGGTATATTTTGATAACGGCCGTACTCTATAAGTAGTTTGTGATTACTTATTCGGAATTTTGCAAACATTCTTCTTTGGGATGGGTCTTTTATTGTGTTAAGATATTCTTCCATTTTGTATTTCTTTTTAAATGTATAGTAAAATGATAGTTTTCTGGAATTTCTTACTTGATCATTCCAGAATGAAACATAGTTGTCTTTGACGCTTTTTTTATGAAAGAGTCTATAATCGTGTCTTTAGTAAATGTTTCTAGATCCATTGTATCGTCTAGTTCAGGAAGATATCTTTTCAAAACTTTTATAACATTGAAGTAAAAAGATTCATTATTGTTCATGTATAGCTCTTTCGAATAATGGAAAACTTGTTTCGCGATACATGAATCTGGGAGTTGGCATATGTTTTTAATATACCTAAGTATCCTTTTAAGTATTGAAATTTGTAATGGGTATCTGCCCAGTTCCCCTCTACTGGCAAGGTTACTGGCTTTTCTGTTGACACCCAAGTATAGTTTACAGAATTTCAAATGAGCTTTTTCAGTGACGGTTTTATCCCATTTGGCGAAATCATTGTCTATGGGTTAACCCCATATAAACAGACCAAAAGTAGGCTGTCTGTCGTAGTGAAAGCCATCTTCCAAAAGTTTTTATTTATAAAGCTCAATGTCCCATAATAGCAAAAATGTTATTATAAAACAAAAAATGGAACTAATTATGTGCAGATTTATTAAATAGATGAGTTATTTTAATTGAGGTAAACTGCTACTAGGCTATAAAATTAATGGGCAATGGTCTACAAATAGGTCTAACATTTATTAAACAAATATATTGTGCTCCTTATTTATTGTTGACAAAAATTGCCTATTCACATTGCAAGGCCAAAATTATGTACATAATTTCAGTAATAAATAAAATAAACAACTTTACCAATGACAAGTGAGAGTCTTTATGGATATAGTGACAGTCTTTGCAATTTCACATCATGAAGAGCCAAAAAACCCAAAAGTTGATGCAATAAAGAATAATAGATTAATTCCTAAGTATTTATAAACATGTAGCAGTACCTTTTGCATTTATATTGTGGAAAAATATCTATATTTTTATTTTATTTCTGTATATTTTTCTCAGAGGAATGATAACAAACTGCGTAATACCGCGTGCAACCCCCCTGCTAAGAGATTTGGACTAGTACAATAACTGTATATAACATGAAGTTTCCTGAACAAAATGGCGAAAATTTTTATAAAAAATGTTGATGCTTGATCGTACAATACAAAAAAAACTGCGGGTCTGTGCGAGTGACAACAAGTGAATTCATACTCAGCGTATCAAAAACTATAGATTTATGTAAACTAAAAGTAGGTCCCGAATAGGGGCAGCGGAACTGAACGCATGGACGTACCGGAAGGAAAAATTTAGGGGGGCGGAAAGAAATTTGCCCGACTTTTCCGGATTTTGCCAAAAAAATTTCGGTCAGTGTACCATTTTAGGGGTCAAAAAATTTTTCAGGACATACCAAAATTTTTCGGAACCTAACAAAAATTTTCGAAACATCACCAAATTGACCACAAAATCTACAGAATTTGTCCCATTTATTTTATAATAAACCAAAATTGCCCGACTGTTCAGCGAATATTGCCCGACTGCCCAACAAACTGGGGGGGCTGCCGCCCCCCCCCCCCGCCCCCCCGCCCGGTACGCCCATGACTGAACGATAATTAGCCACAGAATACGGCCTATTTTCGCTGCTTCGCAAATGCTACTACTTCCACTTTCCAAAATCAAAGTTTTCTTTTTTGTCGAAATTTTCCTTTAAAAATTTCGCCATTTTTATATTTCCGATTAAGGCGGTTTAATAAACAAGACGTCTGGTAGCCTATTGCTAAACCAAAGCCGCTAGAACTGTAAGAACAAAATCATGACATGAAACAAGAAAAAAGAACATGCATCTGCGAGTATTAACTTTGCTTTCTACACGTGATTATAAGCAAGTTTGACTTGAAATAGCGTTTTATTTCGGTGTTAGGCAGCAAAATACCGAAATGTCGGTATATCGGTATTTTTAAATTGTCAATATCGCCAAACCGGTATCTAAAGAAATACCGGTATATCGGATATATCCGGTGTATCGATCCAGCCTAGTATGAATATAGATTGTGGTTTTATTCCTAGGAAACGTAAAATAAATTTAAACTACTTAAACCACAGACTGGCTAGAGGCCCAGTAAGGGCATTTCAAGTAGAATAATGAAGAAGAGTTCTGAGGAAATTGGTGCGGTAGGTAGGTAAATATTATTTATTTGTACTACTCATGCCTTACTGTCCATTGCTATCATCACAGTACGCGCAGAAAAATCTTATACTGGATAGATCTAATGAAGCGAAGGGACATCCTATATTGGTGCAAAGTTACAATAGGAAGAACTGAAACAAAATTATCGATAGAACACAGCAAGTAACTATTACCTTATCGTGGTTGCATCCCACATCTTGATACTCACAAGTCGCCGGAGCCTCATTGCAATCGCGTCTCTCGTGTCTTTCACTGTCTTTTCTCAAAACATCTTTCAAACAGTATCTGCAAGTCACGGGTGCATCTTCACATATCGTACCAATATGTTCCTAGACGAACAGCGAGTAAAACTGAGCATACCGTACTGGTTCAAGGATAATTACAAGGTTTGAGGTTAATTACATAAGACCGTCGTCGTCGTGACATGCTGGATTGTTCAATTGACTGTTCTCAAAAGTTACTTTTTTTTTACTTACCTTCATGGAGGCCAAGGTGACATCGTTCCGACAAAAATCACACTTCACATTCCGATATTCACATTCACTTTTCAAATGTTCACCACAATGAGAGCGTTGGAATGTCATCTTGCATTGGGAATGGACACAGTTTATCAAAGCATGTTCACAGACAGCAGAATGTGCCTAAGTCACAAAGAAATGGTTACGGTCTCTAGGGCTCGTCACCTTCGTGCTGTTAACAGAAGAGTGAACAATGCCGCACTCTGCAAATTGCTAAGTAAGTCCTTCATCAATAATCTACAGTGGCAAGCTTAGATCAGAGGCAAGCGACAGCGCACTAACATATACCATCAACGCTCCTCAAATTATTTTCACCTTCGTTCCTCATTTCTCTTTCTTACCACCCCAACTCACCTCCAGTGCGTCATAAGTGTCATGCCAAGGACAGCCTTGGTTGCTACAATGCAAACATAATGCATTGAGCTCACGTTTAGTGAAAACATCGCGGAACACCTGAAAGAAATTTATGTCGCACTTTTTGAGACAAATACCCAAGGTTCGAGTGATTGTGTACAACTATAAATAGTGAGCATGACAGAATGAAGGCTCCTTGTGCAACTAACACTAAACCGTGGCCCCATTTTTTGTTTTATGTTTCTGTTCTTCTCTACGTTTTAATAGCTAGGGAACCAAGCTAGGGAACCAAGTTAACAGCTAGGGAACCAAGTCTCGTTACGTCAGCACATCATGTGACCGAAAAGAGGGCCGGGCGCGTATGTAATAAGAGCTTGGCCGCGCATTGGTGGTGTTAGATTTTGTTGTTTTTTTTGTGTGTTTTTTTCTCCTGTTCTTTCATATTTCCACCAATTGTTAATTGGTGTGAAGGTGTTGGCCCTGTGGGGGTGGTCTGCTCAAGATACCACTGGCATGGATCTTAACCCGAGTCCAAGTAGTCATCATCATCATCAATCATTTTTATTTAAATGAAAAACCTCACCATCCAAACGGGTAAGTAGGAATCAGGAGTCTTGTTAAAAAAAATCAATAACGTACGGTTGTGCAGTTGCGATTGTTCCTGTAACTCACAAAAGGGTCAAGTGGCGTCTTATGTCATATCTTCGAAACGAGTTCGGTGACCCCAATTTTTTTCTCGTTCTTACTATAAGCATATCATAAACTTCATCCCTGGGAAGTTTCAGCAAATTGTCATTTCCAGAACAATCACCTCATGCAAGTGACATTTTTTTGTCAACACGAACGTCACCCAAAATTTGGTAATATATATAGCTAATTTTGCCTCATAGCGCTCGTGTAAGGAAGCAAAAAACTCTAAAACTCTTATGTTTTGTCATATGTGTTGAAGGTTACCACAAACTGACACAAACACAGTTTTTAATCCAGTCCCCACCCCCCTCGGCAATCCGACGTCCGTGTTGACAAAACGTCGTTAATTTGCACAAGTTTGCTGTTCTCAGTTCAAATCCATCTAATACACAAGTTTACGACAGTTGCCACAAAATTAAATTCGACGGATAACTTGATCGCAGAGATTGATGGGAAATCAGTTTCAAAGATCCAGTAATTTGTCCAAACAACCTATCACTCCCCCAATCGAATGTTCAGCTTGTGTCGTGGTAAATTACCAAAAGTTATTGCGGGGATGTGCACAACATTGAACTAAGGAAGAAAGGGTGATGACGTTTGTTTTGTCAACGTACATCAACGACGCGTTACGTCCACGATTGTAATTAGCACTGTTCTGATAATGTAAGCATACCATGCATTATAACGGTAACCAAACATTTGAGTATTATGCCCGCTGCCATCAAATAACATTTTTGTGTGACTCAGTCTCAGATGCCTATCACTTTTGGAATAAAAGTGTCTGAATATAAATATGTAAATGTGAACCACTCACTTGTTCTTTTTCGAGTACTGCACCATCTGCAGGACATCTTGGGTTTGAACTCCTGAATGATAAAAATAGTTTTCATAATATTGCACTGTTCAATTTCCAATCTTCAGGATCAAGCGATCAAACCTCGTTTGATAAGAGTCTGCAGAGTAACAGGGGCACCAGGCAGGCCGGTTTATTGTATTTTGTATTAAAACTTTATTTAAAGACACTAGCCCCGTCAACGGTGCGCTGGTTTCCACGGGGGGCGTCTACAATGTTAAAAATTACAAAAGATATAAGGGAAAAGAAGACTATTTACAAATTGGTGTGACCCCAGATGTTATGGTTAGACGGAGTTACAATTTATTTCAAATATATATAGTATTAGAGTTAAGTTTTAAATGGCTTTTGAACAGGTGCATTGATTCTGCCAGTTTCGTATCGATAGAGAGACTATTCCATAGCTTAGCCCCACTGTATTTAAAACTCTTTTCGTGCCAAATATCCCCCATGCCAAAATATAAGCGAATATTATATGCACCAATCTAGGTGACGGACATGGCCTCATATTTCGCACACAACATGCAGAGGCGTAACTAGAGCGTTAATTGCGGGGGGGGGGGTATATTCAAATATTCGTGTTCTGCCCGACGAATTTCTTTTGAATTTCTTTGTTTTCAAGTTCATTTCAAAAGAAATTAGTCGGGCAGAACACGAATATATATACCCATTAACGCTCTAGTTACGCCACTGACAACATGGTCAGGTGATCAAAAAGAAATATATTCGTGCACGAAATACGAGATGTTACCTGAGCTACAAAGTCCAGTTTTGCTCTAACCGTTAGCTATATGGGTAAATATCAGGATTGTTTTGCCTCTGTAGCTCAGTTAGTTAGAGCGCCGCACCGGAAATGCAGGGACACAGGTTCAATTCCTGCCAGAGGGCCAATAGTTGCATTTTTTGCAGCGAAGAGTATTAAGGGTATTAACATACTCTAGCAATGTTTGCAGGCAATCAGAACACATCAAGTGTCCACATTGAGTTTGCATGGGCGTGCACAACAGCATGTCACAACTGGTGCAGATGAATTTCTTATCGATTTTCTTCCGATCTTCATCCGCAATTTTTGTCCCTGGCATGACGGAGGGGAGAAAACTACAAAAAAAGAAAAACAAGACTTTTTAGAACACGTCCTATAGTTACAAATAATTGCTGCCGAAGGCAGCATACTAATCTTCACGGTGTTACTGTAGTGCCCAGTTTCTTTGACCGAGATATAATTATTGGACGTGAAATCTCGATTTTCATCTTATTGGAGGGGGTCAAGGGGGCGATCATGTCGGAAATATTTATCGTACGTCACGTCACAGCACACGGCCATTCGACCACGTTGCCATTTTGCTGATCACACATCTATCAGTAAATATCAGTATAGTATCCGCCTTCAAAGATTTTTTATGGTAAGTTTAGTCGTTTGTTAAGAATAAATTATGTCTTTAGTTGCTCGTGGAAGTATTCATCAGGGCCACGAACTCTTTTATAGTGAACAATCGCGAGGGAAACAATGCTCGTTTATGTAAATTAGATAATACTTCATAGTTTGCCTCATTGGGCTGTACTTCATATTTTTCCCCATTGGGCTATATTTCTGCCTCATCGGGCTGTATTTGTGCCTTACTGGGCTGTATTTGTGCCTCATCGGGCTGTATTTGTGCCTCGTTGGGCTGTCTTTGTGCCTCAATGGGCTGAATTTGTGCCTTATTGGGCTGAATTTGCCTCATTGGGCTGAGTTTGTGCCTTATTGGCCTGTATTTGTGCCTCAAAGTTTTTGAAATTTGAAGCCCGGAAACACCATTTCCTGCATTCTGAGCATCGAATTCTGCTCTAAAGGCCATATTTTAGACAAAAAGTTACATATTTTAGACAAAAAGTTACAAAAATACTTAATAACAGTAAAATGGTTAAACGACATACCAAATCATACCAGATCTACATTCTTAATTACTGTATGCAAAGTTTAAGACCAGCATTCCTCCCTACATTAATATGTAATTTAATATCATACCGCACATGTGTAACATATATAAACACAATTACAATCAATGCATAAAATCAATGGGCAGAACGATATATAATGCAAACAGATACGTTTATATACTGAAAGAAACCTTCGGATTAACAGAGATTCAACCACTTAAATATACAAGCCAAATTTCGAGGTTTTGCTTGTATTTTTGAGTTACGGTAATTCAGTATAAAACGTACCCTATCTCTCAATCCGAAGCTTTGTGTTGTTATCATTTATCAGTGTGCAAAGTTTGTATCGCGCGGCGGAAATATTGGACGCGCAATTTTGATGTTTCTATATATTTACTATTATATTTTCGAAATGTCCGGGCGCAATTTCCAAACACTGGCACGGAGCGTTTACATTTATATTCTGTTTATTAATATATTCTAATATTCATAAGCTTACCTGCCCAGAACGTTGTTGAACGAGCGCGCTCTTTCACCGTTTCGAATTGTAATTTCGAAAAATCACACACAAATACCTCGCTATCTTTCAGGCGATCGGCCTTAACTTTGCTCCCGATGGCATCCTCACATAGCGCTTTAGTCTACTTAGTTTTTCTTCGAAAGAAATTGGCTCGGTAAAAGCGCAAACAAATATAGCCAAATAACATCGCTCTAAAGTTCCTATTGAATTGCGCAACTGTAGCTGACTGTAGCAGACTGTAGCGCATTGCAGCACTGTGATTGGTTTGCTTCATCTGACTGTAGCAAAAATGCTAAATTTAGTAACTCGTCCCCCTGCTGACTGTAGCATTTTGACGTAAGACCCCCAGTTGACTGTAGCATTTTGACGTCATAAATCGCTATATTTAGACCACTTTTCTGAACGCTTTTTGAACGATGTTTAAAAAATTTAGGTGATTTCCCCTAAAAGCGGGCGTTGTTTCGGGTAAAATTCAGGTTAAGATAAGCACGCAAAAACGTAACTTAATATTCGTAGCTCACAAAATACGTACGGACATCTGGTCGAAGCTGCGGAAGTTAATTTTTTTGAGATAGAGTTTGATAGGCGAATTTGACAAATAGCACGTTAAAATACATAAAAACCCACAAAGGGAGCAGTCATTATTAATGCCGGGGG